GAGCAGGGCGTGCAGCTGGGAACGGTTACACAGGACCTCGATGCTTGATGCAGTGGCTGAATTTATCATCTCAAAACTGTGTTTCTTTTAGTGTGTTCTGCAGCAGAATTCTTGAGTCTTGGTTATGATAGGAAGATAAATGTCTTGCGAGAAAGCACAGACAGATGATCCTTCAGTAAGACTGGAGGAAATAGCAGTTAAACCTGCGTAATGTAGGTGATAATGTTTTCAGTCCTGCTGCTTCTGAAGTTCTGTTGAACAGGAGGAGGAGGTGGACCCAGGAATGGATTGATGTTCCCCTTCTGCCCCAGCACTCTCTTTGGGTGGCACTTTGTTAAAATGTTCTGTATTGCTTCAAATCTTACACAGAACGTATTTATCAGAGAATTTCTGCAAAGATCCTTTCTTAATCCTAATGCTGTGGAGTTCATAATACTCGAATGTAATGAGACCTTACAAGACAGTCAATTAACGTGAGGAAGTCAGAACTCTAATAGCCAGATTAATGCTGGATTTCTGAATAGCTATTGCTTAATAAAATTTGAGCACCAATTGTCTTTGTTTCAAAGTTTAAACAGAAGAACATGTAGGCACAGGAATTCTGTTATTAAGTTTCTGTCCAATTAAACTGTAGAATATTGTTGGGAAACTATTATAATATGCTTGGTTAGCCTGTGTGGGCATGAAGAAATTGCACGTAGAAGTTTTGTGTTCATGGGGCTCCATCTTTGCATCGTGGGAATTGTAGAATCTGCTCCTGATTGAGCACTGCAAGGACGAGAAGAACATTGTTTGAATGAAAGATCAAATTGGGTTGAAGTGTGCTGATTGGGATTCGTGCGAGAAAGAAAATTGTGTTCTCAGCAGAAGGCAAAATTCTGCTGCAATGAATCCTCACTGTAGTGCTTGCTTTCTTGTTGTCTTCTGAACGTGAGCCATCAGAACTGGATTTCATTGGCTTGGTTAAGAAAACGTTTTATCCCTGAATGTTGCTTTGTTATAGCAAGACAAAGCAAAGAAATGAAAATACCAAAGAAAGTGAAGTTGAAATTCTGCTGCACTTTACAGCAGAAATGAACTTTGCTTGGCTTGCAAGAGTTTGTTGTTGAAGCCTCTTTATTCTGTCTGACTCGGAGCCCTGGCTTGGAGTTGTGTAGATGCAGAAATGGCAGTTTTGGTACATGATGGCTTTGTTGCATCGCAGTTTTCAGTCTTTGCCTTCCAAGTCCCGTCCCTGTGGCTGAGCCACTGCTGCGCCCTCCGTGCGTGTGGTCCTTGGGGGGCTGAATGACCCCTTCCTCTGCTGTTTGCATTCTCCAGAAGAGAAGGGGGGAGCAGGGCATTGTGCTGTCAGTTGTTGGATTTCCCTCTTTCTGTACCCTTTTCTGTAGTAACAAGACAAAAAGGAGGGACTGACGCTGGTGGCCTGTGAGCATCTCTACTGCCTGGGAAGAAAAGAAAGCTGGGAGAGCCGGGCAGCTGCTGCCTCATCCTGTCCATAAAAGGAATAGAAAAAAGAAAGCCAAGCAAAACCGATTGCTTCAGATCTGCATTTTTTTTTCCCTTCCTCTCTCAATAGGAGATAGGGCACGTTTCTTTCTAACGGTGCTTTGGATGCTGGCTGCCAGCCTTGTGCAGGAGTCTGGCTGGCGACGTGCAGCCCCTCCGTGGGTGCCTTGCTGAGCTGAGAATGAGCTGCAATCACTGCTTTGTTCTTGGAGCCGTCCTCAGCAGTGACACAAAATAACACTGTGTAAGGTTAACCCAGGGGAAGGGGTGGTGGTGGGCCCAGATGTTTTCACCGCCCAGTGATACTGCTGCCCAGAATCTGGAGTTGTAAAGGAGGAGTGGTTTGGGTTCTCTCAACCCTTCAGTAAATTCTTGGATGTAAACATTTGAGGCTCTTTTAATAGTGTGTTTTAAAGAATGACTTCAAACTTTTTAAATGAGCTCTGCTGCTGAAATGAGAAGTTTCCTGTTTTATTTGGGTTCTAAAATTCGGTTGCTTTGTTCTTATCTTAATCTAATTATTATCTTAGCATCTATGAGCTGGATCTTGGGCGCAGTGAGTAGCACATCCATCTCACACCTGAACTTGTCTAATAAAATATGCTTACAGAGCCTTTTTTGTTCTGAAGAATCCCCAAGTCCTTTCTTTGTAGTCAGTGCTGAGTTACAAATCATCATGATAGCTCTTGCATCCATCATTGAAGGGTGGTACTTTCAGAAATAGAACATGCCAGCTGTTTGGTACTTGGGTAATCCAGCACAGTGTTATGGACTGGAGGGAGGAATCTGGCAGCCAGAACTAAAGGAGCAGGATGTAATTACCTGCATCTTCACTTGGCTGGGACACTGGAATTAATGAGCCGCTCTTAGAAAAGTACAGAGGTTTTCCTCAGCTAAGAGTGGTGAAGGATTTGTGCTCTCTGTCTGAGGAGCAGTGGCAAGCCCAGGCACATAGTGTTTTCTTGGGGATTTTTGCAGTTTCAGAGCTGATCAGGAAGGAGCAGTGCCCTGTAGCAAACTGCTCTTTCTCCCTGGTAGTTCTCATCAAACATTAACCCAACCCAAGGCAACTTTTTCCCTTCTTTTTTTTTTTTTCTAAAGCTCTGCCACCCTGGCTGTATGTACAAAGGTGTTCAGCTCTTACAGTACTTTGTCATCGCACTGTTGTGAAGTATGGAGTAGTTAAACATTAGAAACATTTGAATTTATCAAAATGATGAAAATCTGGTTCGTATTTGTGTGAAATTACCAGTGCAGTTGTATTTTATTTTATTTTTTGCTGGTAACACAGACCTTCTGATCGAGCTTTGGAGGAGGGGATATCTCTGTTAGAAATGGGATTATGTTTTAGAAACAAACCAGGAAATCTTCATTCTCATTAAAATACCCAAGGGAGGTTGTGGTTCAGGTGCATTGGTGCCCTCACTGTGTGTGCCTACCACAGATGGTGGTCGATGCTGAGCTGTAACTGCAGAGCACCTCTGGCTTAGCCAACCTTTCCTCCCGTTGAGCAGATAACATTTGCACTTGGAGCCATCCCAAACTAAATACCCCTCCCTTGTGGCAGAATACCAGTGCTATTAACTAGAGCTGATGGAAAACTTCAGCCATTGTGTTGAAAGGTGCGAGGGAGAGAAGTAAAATGGAGCCCTTCATTCCTTTGAAAGCTTTCTTTTTTTTTTTTTACTGCTTCTTAGCACACAAATATCATTTAAACTCTCTGTCACTTCTTATGGTGGTGTTCCAGAGCTCTGTGAGGGCTGCTTGGCTGGTTGTCGTGCTTCTGTATCTGTGAGATTGTGGTTATCCTTAAACTTCACCTGGAGTTTGTGCTGCTCTGTGCAGGGCTGGAGCACTTCTGGAGGAAATGGTTTGTGGGTTTTCTCAGCAGTTCTTTTTTCGTTACCGTAGTGTAGAAAGCTGTAAGTTAAGACTGCTTGTTCACTTTTATTTGGTAAGTATTACAGTGTTAGTGATGAGTTCTGAGTGTTTCACTGTTCCGTGCATCGTGTTCCTGTGTTTGCTTTGTTGTTCTTGTGGAGCAGGGTTATTCTTTTTGTTTATCGTTTGTTTTATTAAACGTCTTCCTTTCTTACTGCTCCTATTTGAGTACATTCATACTGAGCTGACAATAGTTTGGGGATTGTTTGTGTGATGTTAGTGACTGGCTCAGTAACAGTGCCATCCTGTGTGTGTGAGTTGGGAGGATGGGCAACTCCCGAGATTTGTACAAGCACAGGAATACTCAAAATAAGCAACAGGTATCTCTGGAGGGGAGCTGGATGTGACATTGAAGCGGTTTCTGACATTTCTAAAGTGCTCTGTGAAACACATCATTCCTTGCTATAAACAGGATTTCCAGCTCGGTTGCTTTGAAGAGCCGCAGTGGGAGCTGTGTGCGCCGTGCTGCCGCTGCGTCCTGCAGAAGTGCTGCACGTCGTGCGTTTGTTCCCTGCTCCCTCTGAACACTTTATCATTCACAGGCAGATGTTGTCAAACAAAATTGGTGCTCGGCACGGCCCATTAGCTGGTACAGGATACGTGAGCTGTTTGATTTCTGTTGCTTACGCAGCCGATTCAGACAGGGGGAAAGAAAGCCCTTGATATAAATGAGGATGTCTCAGGAAGTCTTGGTGCTGTGAACACGCTTTGAAGATCCACCAGAGCCGCACCAAACAGCCGTGGGTTCGGGACGTTGTTGTGCGGGGTGCAGGGAGGCTCCCCTGGGCGCTGCTGGGCCGTGCGGTGAACTCATGTGAGCACAGCGCTGTGATGCCTGAGGTGCTTCGGGGGGATGAGAGGGCAGGCTGCTAGTCCTGCACCTTACCCAGCGTTTGGCCGAGGCGCTCTGTTCTGTAACAGCGCTGCTGGGAAAACTCCAGGCGTGGGTGGCTTTTTCTTCTTTTTTTTTTGTCTTCCTAAACTGGGATCGTGATCCGAAATTCCCATACATGGGCCTGGTCCTGACACCCCGGAGCTGGAGCGGAGGGAAGGGAGGTGGGAAGGGCTGAGCAGCAGTTCCATAATGCTGCTTGGAACATCTAAGGGGGTAATTGCTTGAGGGAGCCATTGCCAAGGCCACAGCCTTCGTGTGCTGGGGTGAGCAGCAGCACCAAACTGCCTTCATAAGAAATGAAAACGACGTTTCCGGTATGGATGGTTTGGATCGCGCTCTGCTCAGTGCATTTGAGTGAGCAGCTGACAGTTAACATATATGACGTAAATGAATTTGGTATCGGACATTTCTGATCATTTCCTGCTTGAATTGCTCCAGCTCTTCAAATTGAGCTGGAGAACAGGCACAGAGTTTGGATGCTCAGTTCCGTGCTGAGATTGCGTGCTGAGTGCTCTGTGCTGAGTGCAGCATGGCTGCCTGTGTGCAAGAATAATGGCTAAAGCATGTAGAGTTAGACTTTGAAAATGGAAACACTGTGCTGTGCTTTAGGCCTGTTTTCTAATTTCTTTTAATTTTTGCACTTTTCTTTCTCCAGATGTGGAAATTAAGGTGACTTGGGTCCTTGCAGCGGGGCGTTAGTTGTGCCTCCCTTAGCCTGGCTGTGATCCTGCTAGGAGTTCTCACATTCGCTCAGGCCTCCCAGGAAGAGGGAAAGGGAAATTATAGCAGGATCCTGTTTATAGCAGCAGGTACAAACCAATGAGTTCTTGTCTTCTGCTTCCAGGCCTGGCATGCAGGGAGGGAGGAGCAGAGAGCTGCGGTCCTATTGCAGGGGTGGGTTGGGGAGGTGGGGGTTTGGCAGCTATTATCCCCCTCCAGGAGCAGCCTGAGCCCCAGGGATGGGTGTGGGCTGGGTGCTCCCCAGCTCATGCTGCCCTGAGCCCAGCCAGCCCTGGGCACCCAGCAACACTGCCAGGGCATCACTGTTCCTCAATGACAGCAATATGTTTTTGGAGAGCAGACTGCAAAAAAATGGGCGTAATTGCGTGTGTTCTGAAGGTCACTTCTGCAATTCCTTTAGGCTGAAGTTAATTGCTAGCAGTACTGATTTGCTAGGCAGGCCATTGTTGTTTGCTTTTCAGGGTGCCACTACTGCTTATTTTTCATGAACTAAGGCAAAGTTGTCTGCTGTTTCATGGCTCTGTAAGAGAATCACAGAATCACAAGGTTGGAAAGGACCTGTGAGATCATCCAGTCCAGCCAAGAGATAAATGTGACTGAAGAATTGTCCCAAATACAGAGTTAGAGCCCACCAAATCAGCATGCACTGAATTCATTTATTTACGTATTTCCTACTGGTGTGGTTTGAATAGCTTGGAGATGCTCGAAATATCTCTGTGTAGGGATCTGAAAGAGTGGATCTAGAAGTGTAATTTGGATCCCATTCAAATCAATGATTCCCCTCCCTTTCTTCCTGCATAACAAAATATAAAGCAAACCCACCCCCGGTGCCCATACAGCCTGGCTGACTGCTCACGGCGATGGTTATCCCTTGCTGTGTGCTTCACGAGGCCAGGGATGGGCACTAAGAAAAGCGCTTTGCTGGTTCAGTGTTTTGGGTAACTAAGTTTGCAGGTAGAGTCAGATCAGCTCTGGTTTTGCTCCGGCTCTGAACTGGACCGAGTCCCTGCTTTAGTGTCACTGCTGTGTGACGCTGTTACAAATGCTGAGCATGTTTCCTCCGCAAAAGAGTTGCAACAGATGTTGATACAGTTTTAAGGGTGATGCTCGTCTTGTGTAAGAGCTAGTGGAGGTCCTGCTGTTAAAATGTAACTCTCTACTTGTAAAGTGTAATTATCATCTTCCGAAGGGAGAGCTGCTTGTGATTCACTGTCTTAGTGCTTTTACAGGAATGAATTCCTCAAGGGTAGGTGAGGATACGTTGCTCCCTGCCTGACATTTTTGATAGTAAAATGGCATGGATCCTAACGGTTGGCTTTAACAAGTCACTGTCTGTAATTAAGTCTGACATTTGTTTCTGTTTAAATCTTGGATATATGAGAAATCTGAAGGAGAAAAAAAAAGCTGTTTATACCTCCGACTTTCAAAGCAGGCTTACATTTTGCCATTAGGGTGAAAATTACGTTGGTGGTTTGGCTGCTCTGCAGCGTGCAGGGCCCTCCCTCAGCAGGCAGACTTGCATTCGCTTGCAGTCGCATGAGTTCAGCTGATTTTAGCACAGTTGGAGAAGTGATTTTCAGATGTGCATTAGAAGTTAGCACGCTCCTAGGCTTGATGTCAGCCTCAGGTTGGATTATGCTGATGCTTTTACCTTGTTTACAGTGCAGTTATTTCAGGGAAGTGCAGCAAACTCACACCCTGAAGCATCAAGTCTTTAAACTTACGCTGGGGGTTTCTCCTGGTTTTGATGTCCCTGTGGATATTTTTTATAGACAGAGCAGTAGAAAAAAATGAAGCCGGGTGAGTGAGAAATTGCAGTGAAAGGCTCCAATGATTTTAAGGTGAAAAGCACAAATAATGGTTTTTAAAAAGCTGAGTGGAAGTTCTGCTTAGGATGGAATAGCTGGTTTTGTAGAGCTTTCAGGTGAGCTCTGTGCCAGGCTTATGGTGCTGTACTTTTAATAACCGGGCAGCTGTCTGAAATGTGAAATAATGACTTTCTGAGCAGACACCTTCATTTTACACTTACACTGGAACAGCATTTATGTTCTGGAAGCATCTATTGTAGTTTTGTAGATCAAGAAGGCGCTTTTATAAATCTCTTAATGCAAAGTACAGCATGGCTCATACAAAAAGAGTTGGAGGCCTTGTTTATCCCTTATTTTGTTTACTCCAGCACGTCCTGGTGCTTTATGAGCCTCAAAGGAAATCATTGCTGACTTGTTTTTAGATTTTGTGTTGCTACAACTGGACGCATTGCTGTTAACACAAGCAGCAAGACCAGACTTCCAAGGCAGATCTGTAATACGTGAGATTTCTATTTTTTTTGCTCTGCCCTGTTGCAGTAGGAGAACATTGCCAAGTGGTGTGTGCTGTCTGCTGGCCTTCGAGAGGGGCCATCCTCCTGGATTTCCTGGAACCTGGACAAGCTCTGGCTGCTGCATCGCAGTGCCAGCAAAGCTGGAGGCTCCAACTTCCAGCTGTTTGCCTGAGGACTCTGATGTATTTATTTAACTGCATAAACTGTCCCTGTCAGAAACAGATTGTAGGTTATAGCTGCTCTAAGTGTGAAATGGTTCAAGCTGGACAAGCTTCCTTTCAGTTTTGAGGAGCTGCAGTCAGCGGGGGGTTTTTATCTGGGATCTCTCAGCAAAACAGGGGTAACTGTGTGCTGCCATCCCTCCTTCCTTCTGTGACCGGGAAATTGTTGGTTGTATTTTGCAGCAACATGAACCGTGAAGACCGAAATGTGCTGCGAATGAAAGAAAGGGAAAGGCGAAATCAGGAAATCCAGCAGGGTGAAGAAGCCTTTCCGCCCAACTCTCCTCTCTTTGCTGAACCCTACAAAGTTGTGAGTTCATTTTACAAATGCTTTTTCTTTTTGGTAGCAGAAATTGTATGGAAATATGTACTTCAAGTCTATTTTCATCTGAAATGTTTTTAGGTTGGCACCTTAACCAGTGTTTAAACGAGTATTTGGTCTGACTGGCAGATTTGGACTAATGCTTATGAAGCAGGCACTGTTTTGAAGTGAGGAAAGGGATAATGAGGCAGTATAATGTTTTTTTCTTAAAAAAGCTTTATTTTGCTTCTTCTGTGGTCATTCAAGTGGAACTATTTAAGGTTTTTATTACATAGTTCAAAACTCACTTTGAAAACAAAACCATTCCCTTATCACAGTTTTGTTTGCAAGAGGTCAAACATTGCAACTGAAGTCTTTTCTCCCACAGGAGGAAAGCTGTGAGGTGGTTGTTTGATTCCTGTCCTCCCTTTACTGTGCACGATAACTAAATCCCACAAGTATGAAGCTTACTAAAGCTGGTTGGGATTCAGTGAAACTGATTTGGAGGGCAAAAAAGAAACAATGCAAAGAACCCCGACTGGTTTTTCAGGAAAGAACTCCTATAACTGTGTTGGCAACAAAAGTTATTCCAGTATAAATAGGAATTAAAACTTACATAAGTGAGTGGAGAGGTGTAGCTGATATTATTTTACTACCAAGTAAAACTTTATATGACCAATGCATCATAGACCTTACGGTGACGGTGCCTACAGTTCTTAAAATCTTGCATGCAGCCCACCAATACATTCTTTGAAGCACTAGTTAGTGTTGTTTCAGCTATTCCTGGTTAACTTTAAGTGATGCTGTATGGAATTGCTACTTAAAGTCCCTGTTGAAACTTGGCTGGAGGCCCAGAATTTGGCTGCAGATTAAATAAATGCACTTTCTTTGGCCCGAATAAGAATTAGTATATAAGAATATAACAAAACTGAGTTTATGAAGTGCTCTGTCCACTTATTTGAAGTCAGCTGTAATTCCCTGCATATGCCTTTCAGGGAAAAGAGAGAATTTTGAGGGAGAAAAAGATGGAGAGAGAAGAATTGCATTACTGTGGTTGGTTGGGGAGAATTGGTTTGCTGTGACTGTTTGTGGGGCTTTAAGATACGGGGATCTTTGGATCGTTTCAGTCGTATTTTTCACTTGTGTGACTACTTGCTTTTGCCTGTTTCCTTTACCTTCTAATGCATGGGACTAAAAACTCTATTGACCGTGTAGATTTTTAACAGCAGCTTCATTTTTTAGAGAATAAGTATGAATTGGGCATCAGTCAAAAACAGTGAAGTTCATTCAGCTTTCTTCCTGTAAACTGTCAAAATAAGTGGAAAGTATTTCAGAGTATTTTGTTCCTGTTCCTTCCCTTCTGCACCTGTACGAGTTTTGTAGTTATTTTCTATGGACAGATGTTTTCTCAGTGTCTGCTAAGACAGTGGTAATTAGGGGTGGATCTCTATTGAAGATCTTATTTGATATATGCAGTTAAGAGCAGTTTTAAAGGGGCATTTATGCAGAAGAACACGTGGAAGTGATGTTTTATGTGCTAATGGCAGTTCTTTCATTCAGCCCATGGTAGTCTTTGGTAAATAGATACAGCTGACATTTGAGTGTGCTTCCTTTCTCCTGCCTCTGTAAAAACCAATACTTTCAGTAATGCTTTTCTTTGAGTTTTGTGTCCTGGGTATTTTTGTGTCTTCCCAGACTGAAGGATGAATTTTCTTCACAGATACTTTTAGGCCATGTGAAATAAGATGAGAAAATGATAGCTGGGCAAAGTGGCATTTAGTGTTAAACTTGATCAAAGATTGTAGTAGAATTGTCAGTTACTTCTTTGTTAGAAGCAGACAGGTGTTACTGCTTTTTAAATTAGTTGGCTTTTCAACATTGAAGAATTCAACAGAGAATTCAAACAGAGAAAACAAGGATTAATGAAAAAAAAATTAAAGATCAGAAACAGACTTTGAAAATAAATGTCTTCCAATTTTCAGACAGGCAAATAGAGAAATAACTCGGTAGTACTGGTGGCCCTTATGGTGAGTTTCTGTCAACGGGAAGTTGGGCAGGTTATCTGCCATCTTTCTGAGCTGGGGTTGGTGTACACCAGTGCTGTGCTCATCATATTAAAAGGTTTTAGAACATGGGACTTAATGATGGGGGAATCTCTGTTCCTTACATGGCTCTTATGGGTATTATGGATATCTGTGGGCACTCAGTGCCCACCAGGAGCGACAGCTTTGCCCATGAACAGAGGTGGGGAAGGTGGAAAATGCCTATGTGATTTTTCGGTAATTAGAGATCAGAAGTGCTGCTGAGGTACATCTTTTCTGTATGCCACGGGGTGTGAAATTACTGCTTAGAGAACAAAACCTGGGAATCAGAAACACTAGCAAAGAAAGGCTTGGATGCTAGCCACGATCTTAGCCTTGAAATTTAGATTAACTACAGTAGTTGTCAAGTCAATTAACTGAAAATGAAATTGTGACTTTAAAGCTGTGTTTTGCATTTGCATTTTCTTTAATGATTTTCACAGACCAGCAAAGAAGACAAATTATCAAGTCGCATTCAGAGCATGCTTGGTAATTATGATGAAATGGATGATCTTATAGGAGATAGATCGCTACCAAAGCTTGTTGGAATTCCCAAACCTACTGTACCATCAACAGCAGATGAAAAATCAAACCAAAGTTTCTTTGGTGATCAGAGACATAATACTAGTTCGCATCAGAGTAGCAAATGGACTCCTGTAGGACCAGCACCCAGCACTTCCTCACAATCTCAGAAACGGTCCTCGGGTTTACAGAGCGGCCACAGCAGTCAGCGTGGCAGTGGCAATAACACTAGCAGCAGTGGCCAGAGGCACGACCGTGACTCGTACAGCAGCAGCAGCAGTCGCAAAAAAAGCCAGCATGGATCAGAACACTCCAAATCCCGTTCTTCCAGCCCTGGGAAACCACCTGCTGTTTCTTCATTAAGCTCCAGCCATTCGAGATCTCATGGAAGCGATCATCACAGCAAAGAACATCAACGCTCCAAGTCTCCCCGGGATCCGGATGCCAACTGGGACTCTCCTTCACGAGTGCCCTCATTTTCAAGTGGGCAGCACTCTAACCAGTCTTTTCCGCCTTCGCTCATGTCCAAGTCCAGTTCAATGTTACAGAAACCCACTGCTTATGTAAGGCCAATGGATGGGCAGGAATCCATGGAACCAAAGTTGTCCTCCGAACACTACAGTAGTCAGACTCACAGCAGCGGTGTGAACGAGCTGAAGCCTAGCAGCAAGGCACATCTGACCAAGCTGAAAATACCTTCTCAACCACTCGATGTAAGTTGTTATTTACTGGGTTCTTGAACGTGAATCCCTTTGGGCTGGGATTTTCCAGCTTCTTTAAAATCTCAATAAACTTTGTTTACAGTAAATTTTATATTTTATTAAGTAAAGCATCTTAAACTTTCGCAGTGAAGACCTGTATTGTCACTGGGAAATGCACAAGTGCTTCTTCTGTACAGACATTGTGATTTTTGTTAAGCAAAACCTATGAGATGCACTGAGAAAGGCTAACCAAACCCAGACTGACAAGTTTTCCTGGAGTACTTTAAATTATAGTCAGAAGTTGGTAGAATAGTAGGATACTCCCAACTATTTTGACAACCCGTATGCGTGTATTGTCTTTATGGTGGGCCATGTTGTCTTAGACAGGTGATGCTATCTCCCTGTCCCAGATTTTCATGTGAAGAATGTAATAATTTATAGATAGCTTTGCCTAAGCAAAATAAGCTAACCCTAAAGCATGCCAAACTGACAGAGGTTCAGGCTTCTCATCAGGTATGCTGAATACTGTTGGGCACTGACATTGACTATAGCTCACATACAAATTGAGTGCCTTACTTAATAATAAAATGTCATTGCATCTTGTACTGTTTGAATTGTGGCTAGAAAGAGAAAACAAGAAAACATTTGTGCCTGGAATTTCAATGAAGAGCAAAATAAGATTGAGAAAACAGGTAAGGAGAGCTGGAAAGTGAATTACTTCCATATTCTGAAAGACTTCATGTGCTAACGGTGAGGCAGTAAAACATGCAGTAACTTTGCTTCCTTTCTGTTGTAGTGTCAGGGATGCAAAAGATTTACAGTTTCACAGTTATTGCTGTTTCTAGTTTCATGCTGTCATCTATGTTCTACTTCATAATGCAGTTTGCCTTATTGCACATTCGTGGTCATCCATGTGAGTTCAGCTGTTACACAGCCGTGTCTTCCCAGGGATGATTGAAAGCTATGATTTTTTTCCCTCTCTCAGTTTTTAATATCCCTGACTGCTTAAGATCACTTTAACTGTCAAGTGAAAAGTAAGAGATCGTTGTGGCAGTTTCATAGGCCTGATGTATTTGCTTTTCATAACTGGTTGTGACTCATCCTGTAAAAATCTGAGTCTAGCTGATATTAAAATTAATGTTGCTGAAAAGAATTAACAAGATCTGTTTGTATTTCTGTAGAATCTAGATGAATCATGATAAGGACCGAAGTTTATTTTTAACTGCTTCATACCCCTGGGATCTTTTAGAGAAAATCTGCTTTAGGAGACATTAATCTTGAGTTTTGATTTCTAGGCATCAGCATCTGGTGATGTGAGCTGCGTGGATGAAATTCTGAAAGTAAGTTCTCTGTGCTTTTGTTCATAACTCATTTGTTGAATACACAAACGTTACTAAGGAGGTGGAAAGTACTCTGCACTGGATTAGTCCTTTCAAATTGGTTTGACTGCAAGTCATTACAGGAGGACTCCTCAGTTAATCCTCTGAAGCAGGTAGACTGGGGAACACTGGAAGCAGAACTGTGCATGCTGGGCATGCTCATCTCCTGGAGATCCTCATTGAATTGCTTTTCTTCTATCCCAACCCTCTGCTGTTTTCCCCAGAATTAACCATTTCTTCCACCAAACTAGAGTCCTTACATTCCAGTATAATTTAGGTTGTAATAATTTTTTTCTACCCAGCAGCAGACCCTTCTTTTCTACCTGTGTTATTTTCTCAAATCTTTTTATTCCTCGTGTGACCCCTGCTCTTATGTCTGGTATCACAAAGGTATCATTGGATGCTCCACGAGCATTTGAGTAACTTATTTGCTCTGATCTTCAGTACTCCACAGTTATTGGAGATGCTCTGAGCGAACACAAGATACTTTCTTTCTGGCTTCAGGCTTTTGATTTTCACTTTTGTCTTCCAAATTTCTGTGCTTCCCTTTTCCAGGTTTCTTCTTTTTACCCTTTGTCTCACATTCACTCTTCACAGCCTGATGTGATCAGACTTCAGTTTCTGTTCAGGCAAACCAATTTCACTGATTTGTGCTTTTCTTGTTTTGTTGCTATGTCTAATCTGTTTTCATGGGTAGAAATATTTTTGTGCAAAATCTCCATTATATGTTTGGGAAATTAAGATTTGAGTGTAAAGTTTAGTGAATTATGAACAGTGATATGAACATTGAAAGGTAGTTACCATTCAAATCAGGGTTGTAACTTGAAATCTTTGTGCTTTTGCTTTGCTGATAGCTGTTTTTTTTTTTTGTTCTGGTTACAGGAGATGACCCATTCTTGGCCTCCTCCACTGACTGCTATTCATACACCATGCAAAACTGAACCATCAAAATTTCCTTTTCCAACGAAGGTCAGTATTGTGGTCAAATACTGAATGCTGTTAAAAGATGAGCTCCTGTTAATGGTCAAGATTTTGGAACTCTTTTAAATTGAATTCTGTATAGTTCTGTGTTTGTTTCTGCACCTTGAATCTCTTTATCTTACTTCACAGCATTGCCATTCTTACAAAGAATGTCATTTTCTTTCCTCTGGTTTACACACGCAGAGTGGTTTGCAAAGATGATATGGGGTAGCTTTCCTTCAAATATGAAAATTAGTTTCATAAATTTAAACCATATTTAAGATAATTGTGAAGTTTTAAAATGCCATAGAGCTTTTTTCTCTGTTGGAGAAAACACTTTGCACTGTTGTGTGCAGAAGCAAGCATTGCTTACCTCTATCTGGCAAGCAGTGGTAAATGCTAAGAAATGTAAATGTACTTTTCTGCTTAAACTGAACTTTCCTCATAATTTTGAGGTCCCTTAATAGTGCTATTAGATGTTAAATTTTTCAACTACGAAGGAAAAAGTTAAGTTTTCAAATCAGACACTTGCTAAAGGAATTCTGAGATCACTTACCCTGAAAGATGCCCTCCTAGCATCCCATGTGCTTAGTAACTACTGAAGTGTTTCAGCTGTTACTTTTTGCTGCTGTTGGCAGTCTGGGCATATTTCCAGGAGACCTGCTGAGCTGACACCTCTGAGGAAGGGGCTCTCATTCTCAGCTCTCAGCTGCCTGCTCCCCCCCAGGGCTGGATCTTGCATCCTCAGCAGCAGTGCTTTCAGTCAGACTGGCATCAGCGATGGTTTGCCTTGAAATGCTGCTCTGTAATCTGAAGTATTTTGTTGGCTGATGAGTGTTCAGGGGAGACAGTTGTGGGTAGTGACTTGAGCAAGCACAGTTTGGTTTGAGGTAGCTGACTAATATATGAAATCATGTTTTGCTTCCTGTATCTACTGATTAACAGCAGTTGATTTAACTTGAGAATATAATTCTTCTCAAGACTCAACGTATCTCCAAAATGGGTTGCTAATGTGGCATGATGCCATCTTGCAGAAGTTATGATGGTCGCCTTTTAAAAGTTGCCTTCCTAACCATGAAGGCTCCACTTTTCCTGACCAGTCTGCTGATTTTTAGCACCATTTAACTGCTCTGTGTTTCCTGTTAGATCCAAATTGTTTCCCAAACCATTCAGTGAAGTACTTCTTAAAAATTTTCTTCCCAAGATCTCTAATGAAATCTGTCAAAGCAGATTGTGCTGTTACACAAATGCTTTGACATCAACTTTCTAGTCTTCATACCATAAAGATGTTTTTGAATTTATTTTCCCATTTGAAAACCCCATCTAAACCCCAATGTAAGCAGGTTGAATTACTCTTTATAACAATCTAATTTGAAAAGAAAGGTGTTCTGTCATTTTGATTGGTTGGCCGTAAGTAAATGTTCTCGTGAGTCCTTTGTAACATTTTCCTCAGGGTGGGAGAAATGTTGAAGCTGGTTGATTTACCCAGGAGAGCAGTGGGTGAATGCAGCTTTCCAAAAGGCTCCAGCTGCAGCTCATGGTTGTTTTTTGGCCAAAGGTTCCAGGCTGTGTTGTAAGTGCACATCCACCAGACTCCCACAGACTGGTGGGAGGTTAAATGCTTCTGTTACTGCCACTCCTGAACAGCCCAGAGCTACGGGCAGCTCTGTGTCAGCAGCCTCTGTCACCAGCGTTCTTCTCTCGGTGCCTCTTTGACTTGGGGAGGGAAAGAAGGTGTGCAGAAATACAGAAGCCTCTGCGCTGCAGAGAGGAACAACATGAGATTGCACAGCCTTGTTGACGTCTGAACACAAAAGGAGGCTGTGTTTTTCCTTTTGAATCTGTTGACATGGATTGTGTTTCTTCACTAAGTTTGCAAAAAATTCCATTTATGGCTGCTCCGCGTCTTTCGACTTTTTGCCAGCTTTTTTATTTTGTGGCTGCACATCTTAGCCATGGAACTTTGTCAAATTCTCTATTTCCAAAGCCTGTAATTTCCTCTGCCTTCTCCCCTCTGTCATTCTTGGCAGTGGGATTTCTCAGAAATTCCAGCAAGTTAGTGAGCCATAGGCTTCTACAGCCCAGACCCGGAACAGAACGCAGAGAGCTGAACACAGCACTGGTTCACTTTAATCAAGCCACACTGTTCTAGAAAATCTCATTCTCTTTAATATTCGATTTATTTACAGGTTAGAATGCTGCAGCATTTCACAGCATTCCTTTTGTGTGCAGAAGTCTGGTACGCTTTGCCTGCACGTAGAAAATTAGGCTCATTTTGGTGGACGGGTGGATTTTATGTGTAAGATTGCTGGCATCAGATCCTTTTCCCTGTGTGCAGAGTATTTGCAGGGACCCAACATCCTGGCTGGGGCCTGTCTGCATTACTATAAATATATTCTGTAATTATCAGGAAGTCTTTGAATCAGAAGATAAAACTTTATGAAAATAGGTCGTGAAAAGTTTTACGAGTGCTGTGAAAAACAGATTCCTGACTCTTGATAAAAATGTTATCTCATGACCTAACACTCCATAATTTTATCCTACGTAAGTCTTTGTAAAGCTATGGGCTCCCAGTCAAAAACTCCAGAGCAGGAGGACTGGCGTGTTTGTAAAACACATCCAGAAGTGCAGCTGTTTCTTGGTGGGTGGAAGCTTTCCATCGGGAAGCAGGCAGGTGACAGCACTGCCAGCTGTTGTGGCTGCGTACCTGAGCTGGGAGCTGCAGAATCTCTGCAGAGGTTTGCTCACTCTGTGCCCTGTGCTGAAGGAGCTGTGAAGGCAGTGGTCGGTTGTTGATGCCTTGTAATCCAGAACTTTCTTCTGAGAAGCAGAAGTGAGGTCTGACCTGGTTGTCAGGCGTTAAATGGAGATGGGTCCTGTTCACCACAGCCTGCGCTACAGCCAAACCAGGAGTGTACAGATAAGCATTATATACCCAACTGCCATTCTCATCCCACCACCATTTTGTGGCAGAGTACAAGCAATGATTTTGTTACCTGGTGAAGTGTGTCCCACCTGACTGCAGCAGCCTGCTGTGCTTTTGTGAAAAGCATGTCCTTCCTTTAAAATGTTCTTGATTTCTTCTTCCTCAAGAAATTGGACTTGAAAAAATACATATTTCTGTTTGTTTCTATATTAATCTGTGAGTTTCTGAAAGACATATTTATTCAAAGACAAAATAGATGACGAGTTATTTGGAAGAAGTTGCACATTTAAACATAACACCTCGTTAAAGTGCTCTTAACTGGAATAAAGCCTTAGAAATAGGAGGCTGGCGGAGGTGAGCACTGAGGCAGACACTTTGCAGAATTTATGCTATGTATGCTGGTGAGAACAGTGCCAGTTATTCATCCCGTGCTCAGCACAGTACAGGTGTGCTGCATGTGGGGCATTTTGATTACTATAGGGTCTTTTTTTACTTATGTTTTATCAGTCTTATCTACTTGTCTAAGTTGACAGGAAAAAGGAAACTGAGGAATCATGCTTGCACTCATTGAACCTATGTGTAAGATAAGAATCAGTTTGTATTCTGAAGAGAGCATGGCTTTTGCTTTCTGTTGAAGTAAGATGACTTTTCTATAACTTGATCTTGACTTTGCAGTTTAAACATAGGTTAATGTCTCTTCTTTCAGTTAGTAAAATGAGGGGCATTTGAAACATCTTAAAGTCCTCTAAAAGGTTTTGTTTTTGAGAAAATTGCATTCTTTCTCTTTACCACTGACAAAATGCTCATTCAGGTCATTATTTCAACTGCTGCCACTTTTGAAATAAAAATGTTAAAGGAAGTTAGATATATGTAGGTATGCCTTGCCGTGTGGAGCTTTTGTGTGTTTATAAAGTTACATTTGGAAATGGCATATGTAACTGCATCGCATCACTGGGCTGCCTGTTTCAGAAGACTGCTGTGCAGCTGCGCCCCAAACCCCTACAATTCACTGTCACCATCAGCTTGGTGAACTGACTCAAATATTCTCAGCTTTAATGCATAAGGTCAGCATTTGTCCTCATTTTAAAAGGAGGTCAGGAAGGTCCTATTTTAAAATGGCACACTAGCTTAGAAGTAGGTTTTTGGTGCCCTCTGTGTATTTGTTTATTAAAAAAAAGTGTTTAATGTTTCAGTGTTTGATAATGTAATGTGTTCCAGGAGGCAGAACTGGGTTTTGTGGAACAGGAATACCAAAGATCGAGCCAGCGCTAGAATTGGCAGGGCTTTATCTTTCAAGGCTGGATTCATAGACAGCAAATCCATTATACATCCAGGCAGGTATTTATCACTGTCTATTGGCTTTTGTACAGCCGGGTTGCCCAGTTACATGAGGATCTGGCCGTTCACCAAAGACAGAGGGGTGAAGGTGAGAAAGGGAAGATAGGGCTTGCAGAAGTTACGCAGTGTTTCTGGAGTTTCAGGTATGGTGTATGACAACTGCACGTGGCCCGTCTTCAAAGCAAGCAGGCAGGTACAGATGGCTCAGTGGGACACATGAGCTGAGGATGAGGAATCTCAGGTGCTCTTCCCATGTGCTTGCTGCTCTGCCACAGCTGGTGAAGGCAGCTGGGGCCCAGATAAAGGCTCTGTGTTTCTGGTTGGTTGTTACTGCTGGGTTTTGTTTTCAGCATGTTGGTTTTTCTTTGGGATTAGGTGTTGGTTTTGTATTGTTGTTTTTTATAAAGGATGGGTGCCATCCTTTAAAGTCAGAACAATAGCTGGATTATGGCATGATTTTTGATATGTTAAAATTCCCTTTGAAAAAACTCCTGTGATCTTTTATTCCCTTAGGAGTCTCAACAGTCCAGTTTTGGCACTGGAGAACAGAGTAAGTACATTAAACTTCCTTTCCTATGTGCTGTGTTTTTGTTATGATTGAGTATTCTTAGCACCCCTTAAGAGAATGAGACTCCAGGCTGGAAAAGGAATGGACCGTATGTGAAGATTGTCTGTACTTTCTCAAGACCTACAAAACAAGCACTTGATTTTATTTGTGGCTTCTTTGAGAACTGGAAAGTTAATTACTACTGTGTAACTCCCTCATAACTTGTGAAAAAGGGAAAAAAAAAAAGTATTGAATCTTTAATTTGTTGTTATTTTTTGAGAATAAGCTTCCTTGGTTGATTCGATTGAAAATAGCTGAGTGTGAAAACAGAACAACCACAGAGAAAACCCCTGGGCACATTGGAAAGCAACAGAGCGCATGTGTTTATATTTTAATAGAAAAAGCACAATGCATTTTCTCCTTTTTCTTGTCCACTTTCACTTTGTGGATGTAAAAATCAAAGAAAACTGATCGAGGACTGAAGTTGGGTTGCTAACGTTCTTGAGTGCATTATCCCAGAATGTATTTCCACATGTTAGACAAATAGGCCTTTTATTCCTATTTGACTGGATCTTCATTTTGAACATTGCTGAAATGAAGCATTTTACCAGGTAGCATATCTGGCAGAACTGAATTAGATTTGTGCTGCTGCCTTCCAGCAGCCCTACCGGTCCCTGTCAAAGCGATTAAACAGATTAAATAGTAAAAGCAGAATGGTTTATTCTTAGGTATTCACAAGCAGCTTAATCTAAACACCTAATACACTGGGGAATTAGGAAAACAAATTAAGACTTAATTCCATGAAGCTAGCCAATAGATTTAAATTCTGGAAACAACTGGCCTTTAGGTATGTAATCAGAGATAAAAGCACAGAGCCATTTCTCAGCTCCTCTTTCCATTTTCTGTGAGGCTTCTAACAACCTCAAGTCTTGTTCTGTTGCACTATGCTTATTAGTAATATACTAGAACTAAAGAACGGGGAAGGAAAAAGAAGACAAACTGAGAAGCAGGTTGTATCAATCTGTGTTCTGACTGTAGGATTTGGTTTATGAGTTTGCTTTTTGGATTTAAAGACTTCTCATTCACTAAAAAGCTGGGTAGGAATGCTGAAACAGATAGAAAAGTTGATAGGCTGATTGATCTCCTGTACTCAGCACGCAGAAGGTAACAGAATAATTTTCGTGGAATGGTTTGGGTTCTAAGGGACCTAAGATCCCATCCAGTTCCAAGCCTCCCACCAGACCAGGCTGCCCAAGCCCCATCCAGCCCAGCCTCAGGCACCTCCAGGGATGGGGCACCCACAGCTCTCTGGCAGCAGTGCCAGGGCCTCCCCACGCTCTGACTAAGGAATTTCTTCCTAATGTCTAATCTAGACCTCTTCTACTTTAGGAGAGTCGCTTCTATCCTACCTCGATAGAAGCAGAACAGTTTTTCACACCTTCAGAAACAAATTAAGCACGTTGTTGGCTTAGACAGCAATGATTTAAAAAAGCCTTCTAGATTTTCTTGATTGAAGTGGTTGTTTCTCTTGGCATTCTGTCTCTGCTCCGCTCACTTGGTCCATCTGTGAGCGGCTGCACCTGATGTCAGCTGGTCCCTCTTTCTCCTGTTCGCTTGGCCATTCTCGAGTTTGTTTAGCTGAGCCTGTTTACTTCTGGCTGCTTTGGAGTGACCGTTTTGCTGTCTGGGTTTAAGAGTGTACAGCTTTTTTTTCTTCTTCCTTCTAGAACGATATAATCCTTCATCAAAAACATCCAATGGCCATCAATCCAAATCGTAAGTAGCAGTTGAGAAGACGTTTCTCAAATAATAGTCAAATTTAAATGTAACTGTTTCTTTAACAGAACGTGTCAGTTCTTGCACACTCTTTGTCATGCTTGCACTTAACTGACAGGGGAAAAAAAAAGCTGTTTTCAAGCCATTTTCAGGGACAGTAGTGCAAATATGGTGCGTTGGTGTGAGGAACAAACGCACTGTGCCTTCCTTCCATTTCCCTGCCCTCTTGTCAGCCATAGGATGCTGAGCAGGACTTTGGCCTTAGGAACTGGCTTGCGAACTGGAAAGGTATCAGCATGTAAGAATGGGCAGGATGGGGCAGGATTTACCAAGCACGTGCACTGCTAAGCTGTCAGTTGGAAGCAGCTTGTTGCAGTTGCACAAATAGGATGAGGAACTGTTCTGTTATTAGAGAAGACGGTAAATTAAGTTTGGGCTCCAGTTAAATTTGTACTACTCGTTCACTGGGTGACTGACAGGCATTTTTATTAGTTGTGTACACAGACCTAACATTATGCTTCATTAATCATACATCAGAAAGAAAAAATAAAAAGCAGCAGGAAGATTCTAACTGTACTCTGCCTTATTCATACCTGAAAGTTGATTATATACTGTTTAAATACAACTTCCAAACAAAAATGTCCACACCAGCTGATGGAATGTTTATTGAAAGCAATTGTGGAATTTGGAGGTCTGGTATTCTAAGTTAATACTTGCTGTGATGCAGTTACAAAATGAAGTTTATCTTTTCTGCTTGTCTGTGTACATTTCTCAGTATTAATAAGATGAAATAACATGTGATATATGAGAAGGAAATGGAAAATAATTGAGGACTAGTTTGTTTAGTTATTTATTATAGACATAGTCAGTTTCCTGAAAACACGAGGTTTCAGATGTTTATACACGGCCCCTTCAATAAGTGGTAGCAATAGGAGTTCATCATTTGGCTTTGCTTTTGTTATAGCTGTGTAATCCTCTATGAAAGAGCTGTGCTGGTTCCAGAACAGGAGGATGCAGGAGGATGCAAGAAATAGAGTTAGCACTGAATGTTAGTTGAAGTGAGGTGCATGGGAAGAGGGATGAGAAGATGTTTGCTGTGCCAATAGAATTTCTGATAAATTGACTGTGCTCTGTTCAAAAAGCATTAACAGTGAGATAATTGCATCTTTTGATAAGGGTAGCAGCAGAAAATAGATATGGAACTAGATTCTTGAGGTTGGTGTTTCTTTTCAGACTATAAAAGCAGCTGTACTGTGAAAGTGGGAACTATTCTAATCCTTTCTTATCTTCTTTCTCCAGATGCGAATCGAACCAGACAGAGTAAGATGTTTTATTTTTGTAATAAAGGTGTTTTTAAATAAGCACAAATACCCCACTATCTTTTCACTGTGTTCCTGTACTTCAGTATCACGAAATAGCTTGTGTATGGATGATGAGGATAAATAAGAGTAATTATACCAAAACTGACCTTGTAGAACTGTTGGGTTTTTGCCACTAGACAGGAAGCAGTCGCAAGTCTTACATTTCTTAATTCAGTGTGAAACAGTATTCTTGGCCATTGTGTACACAGATGTTTTGGCTCCTCCTGCATTAGTAAAACGTGTCAGAATTCCTTTCTAAACTTAAAAGAATGAACAAAGGAATCAAAGCATTACAGTCCATAGTTTTCTTTTCTTTTTTTTTTTTTTTAAAGAATGACTTAATTTGCCATTCTCAAACGTTAAATGTTTTAAATGGTAACTTGTGGATTTCACCCACACACCCAGCTCTGTAATATAAACAGTAACTTGTTGGAATATAGAAGAATGCTTTGAATGTAATTAAGGTACATGGAAAAACTTGTCTCACTTTCTCCCTTTTACTTACTTAGTATGTTGAAAGATGACTTAAAACTTAGCAGTAGTGAAGACAGCGATGGAGAGCAGGTATGTTCATGGGAGACCCAAGTTCCAGAAAAATATACTAAGTGCATTGACAGTTTGTTACTTCAGCAGTGTTCAGTAATCCAACAGCAAACTGAGCAGCTTAAGAGCAGGATTTGCAATTGAGATACAAAACACAGTTAGCAAGTCTTCAAACAGACTTCACGTATTCTAAAATGCAAATCTGGGGAAAGTCATCTGTTTTGTGAGAACAGTACATTTGTACCTGCAGAGTCATGCTTTGATTTCAGATGGGCTTCCTCTGAATGTGAAATGGAAAAACAGAGTCCATTCCAAACACACACATGATGGGCTGCCACTTAGAGAGCCCATCGTGTTCTGCTGTGCTGGCTAAAAAGTGCATGGCATGCATGGTTCCATGCAGCAACCGGCTGGGGTGAGAGCTGCTGTGTGTGCCTCTTACTCCCAGGTTGTATCAGTAACCAGGAGTCTAGAAGCTCCTTTATTTTTGTCATCTCTTTTTTCCTCTTTGTTGGTATTAATTTTGTGCAACTCCAGCCAGAGGCATTCAGCATGCTGAATAAAACACACCTGTTGAATTTATGCTATCCAGCAGGAGTCCACACTACTTTTTTTGCTGTTCTCAGTTCTGCTGTTTGGTATTTTTTCACATGGAAAACTTGAAGATAGTGCGTTTCGTTGGTTAACTGCTAGGACATGGGACATTTCTGGAACAGCACGCTAAGAATTTGATCATCTGGCTCTAAAACATGGTATGGGGGAGTGGAGAAAATAGGAAATCTCAGAACTACTGTCAGAATAGAGAGGGTTCTGAGATGACACATTTGTGCTAAAAGCTTGGATAAAAGAACTCTGATTTATTTTTCCTTCTATACCAGGAAAAGGCAGGCAAATTTAAACTTCTGTATTTCTGAATACTGAAACGCTCTGAACACTCTTCAGGCTAAATATTTAAAATCTTTAAGACTTTAAATCAACACTTTGCAGCATAATTGCATATGTGCAACTCTGAAATAGCTTCCAGAAGCCTCACGCTCTGTTTAATTGCAGGACTGTGATAAGACAGTGCCAAGGAGCACACCTGGAAGGTAGGCATTCCTTTACTTTCTGTGCTGCAATCCACCCGTAGTGATGTTTGGTCCAGTCAGCACTCCTGGCTTGATCTCCTTTCTAAAATCAGTGTCTGTTGTTTGTCTTTGATTAGAACAGAAGGTGATTAGAGTTTAATCAGTGGCTAAATGACACATATTCTGCAAATTGTACTGACATCATTGCGAAGGGGGAGGGGAACAAGGTGCTCAGCTGCGTTGAATTCTTTAGCAAATGGTAGTTAAAATATTACGTTCTATTCTCCCTAATGGAAGAACTTCCAGGATGCCTTTACGTGCACTGAGTAACGTTGGTTTATTTTTCTTCCCTTTTGTTTTCAGTAGTTCTGAACCTTCACAGCATAACAGTGAAGGAGCAGATAATTCAAGAGATGACTCGAGCAGCCATAGTGGATCTGAAAGCAGTTCAGGATCTGACTCTGAAAGTGAAAGCAGTTCCAGTGATAGTGAAGCTAATGAACCGTCACAGAGTGCATCCCCTGAGGTAGGATTTGTCACACTTTTGGGCATTGATCCTGAGTTTTGAAAGCAAAAAAAAAAAAAAGAACATGTTCTCAGTCTCTATTTTTAACAAGAACTTCATCTGTCAAGTGTAGAATTATCTGCATTCGTTCAATATTCTTTTGCTAAAGTACCTGTAATTGGATATGACAGTGATGTTTTTTATGAGCACATATTCGTTACTTGAGGTGATTTTGAGCATAGTTATCTCTTGGAGTGCAGAAGTAAGATATGGGAGCAGCAGCTTAAAAACCAGTAGTTTAAGTCTGGAAAGCCGTGGCAGCAAGTGCTTCCTGTAGATTGCAGCTCCTCTGGTTGAAGGAAGAGGGAGACCTGCTATTTGCAATTATATGCATTTTTCATTAGTTAATGACCTCAGGTGCACCTCTTGCTTTGGCTTGCAGCATAGTACAGCTGCAGAAAGGATGGAAGCCATGTGAAACACTGCATCTAACAGAGCTTTTTTAAAATTTCTTTTTAGCCAGAGCCACCGCCAACAAACAAGTGGCAGCTGGATAACTGGTTGAACAAAGTTAATTCACATAAAGTGTCACCAGCTTCTTCCGTGGACAGCAATATCCCATCCTCACAAGGCTACAAAAAAGAGGGACGGGATCAGGGAGCAGGAAGTGGGTATGCTGATCAGAGTGGATCCAAGGACTCGATTTCTTCAACGCCAGGGCGAGATTCCAAACCCACCCAGAAGGGCTCAGAGAGCAGTCGTGGCAGGCAGAAATCACCTGCCCAGAGTGACAGCTCAACACAGAGGAGGACTGTGGGTAAAAAGCAGCCCAAGAAAGCAGAAAAGACATCTGTTGAAGAGCCTAGAGGAGGTCTTAAAATAGAAAGTGAAACCCCAGTAGACATGGCAACAAACATACCTTCGAACAGGCATAAGGCAGCCACTAAAGGTTCCAGAAAGCCTAATATAAAGAAAGAGCCCAAATCTTCCCCTCGGCCTACAGCAGAGAAAAAGAAATACAAGGCTTCAAGCAAATCTGCCCAGAAATCCAGGGAATTCATAGAAACAGATACCTCATCCTCTGATTCAGATGAAAATGAAAGCCTGCCTCCTTCATCACAAACACCCAAATACTCCGAGAGCAATAGGACTCCTGTTAAATCTTCCATGGAGGAGGATGACAGCTTTTTTCGGCAAAGAATGTTCTCTCCTATGGAAGAGAAAGAGCTTCTTTCACCACTCAGCGATCCTGATGAAAGGTACCCACTTATCGTGAAGATTGACCTGAGCCTCTTATCAAGAATACCAGGGAAGCCTTACAAGGATGCTGATGTGCCCAAAGTGGAAAAGAAAAATGTGCCAGAGAAGCATGCAAGAGAATCCCAGAAGCAGCCTTCAGACAAAGGTTCTACGAAAGGCAAAAGGAAACATAAACAGGTAATAATACTGTAAATAAAATTTTGCCTGTTATCTTAGCCTTCTAGTGTCTCATTACAGGGGTGAAGCATATGGCCCAGTAACCTATGTCATACCTCACTGTAGTGGCTCGGCAATTTAGGAGATGACTTTGTCTACCTATTTTGTGTAGAAAAAATGGATAATTCCTGTGCCATTATAATAGGGAATATTGGAGTTTTCGTTTGGAGTGATGTGTGAAAGGCAGCAGGTTGTGCCTTTAGGTGTGTTGGCACTGTAGCTTCAGTTCCTGGAGGTAGAACAGACTGTATACCCTGTAAACCCTTTGACTTCAGGATTGGGTTTATGTAAAAATCTGGTCTTCAGCATTTCTGGGAGACTTAAAGACTATTAAGGTTTCTAGCATTCATAAGATACCTGTGTTTGACTCCCCAGTATAAAATCTGATTTTGTACCAAAACCTTTGGCAGATTTTCCTGGTATTTCATAGTGATGTGCTTGTTGTCAAACAACTTGAGACTGCCACTTTTCAGATATTTGATACAAGCTAGAAGCTTCAGGGAAGGTTTTTGTGGCCTGTACGAATTTTGTTCACTGCAGGATGCCCACTGAATTAAATCTGTTAAATATGAAAAATTACTGTATCTGTGAAGCTTTAAATGTAGACAGTTATTTGGATGTGTTTCTTGTTTGCTATTCAGAATGAGGATGAAAACAGAGCCAGTGAAAGCAAGAAAACGAAACTGGAAGAAAAAGCTCCATCAGGACACAAGACTTCTAGCAGTAGGGAGTGAGTATCTTGCCTGTCTGCAGCTGTGAAGGCTCAGGGTGATCAAAGAGAAGACTGATGTCCATCTCCACCTCTTCCTTACCTTCTTCCCCTCTCTCTTCAACAAAATGTCTCCTTATTATTAATCAGTGGGTAACATTTGGTGGCTTGTTTCTTCAGACTGATTTTTTTTTGAAGTTTCCATTCGTTGTTGGTGGAAATTCATTTCTGTAACCAGAAACATTGACCAAATAAACCCTACCATGAAGGGTTCACCTTTGATATACTATTTCAGATCAAACAACTGACAGCTGGTGTAATTACACCATGGAAAAAAAATTCTCTACAGTGAATATTTGTTGAATTACTAATGTGTGAGAAGCTGCAGCTTCTGGCTGCAGATGCCAGAAGTCTCTCTGAGTTAAATGCTTTCTTTGTATTTGTTAGGAAACGTAGAAAAAATGGATGCTCGTCTGTCGTGTTTTTTTCCTTTACTCCTAATATTTTTTTGGTTGCCAGTGTGATTATCTGAAAGGCACTTGGTTAAATGCGACAGCGTGGTTTTTAAAAACTGTGTATAAATAGTTATTTCATGAGCTGTTCTCTGTGGAAAGGGGAGCCAGAATTAGCAACTGGAGTCCTCAGCAATCAAGGTAAGACTGTACCAAAGGCTAATGGCTTCTAGAGAGCAGTTATCTGGGCCATCTTTTTTCTGAGCTGTCAGGCTGACTCGTCTGCAATAGACAGACTGGCGCTAACGCTGGCAGTCGTTTCTGACTTTACAAGTGTTGGGGTGTTTTAAGAACTGTTGAGGGATGTGGTTTTATGGTTCCAACTTGCCTTCTGCGTTTTCAGGTCAGAACAGATAAAATGGTGAAAACTAGTTCAATCTGGCTGCGTGACGTTTTGTTACTGTGGAGATTATTCTCTTCCTCTGAATCTGTCTTGCTACGGTCAACATTGAAAATCTTGGTGGGTTTTTTTTGGGGGGGAAAGGAGGAAAGCTTAAATGGAGAAGGGTGTGAGTCTGATTTAAAAGAAAAAAAAAAAAAAGCAATATTGGATTTTTTGTTTATTTCTATTTTGAAAAATAAAAATCAAAACTGAACGTATTCATTTTGTCCAGGTCTTTAAAACCAAGTGCTGTTAAAGAGAAGGATTTACTGCCATCTCCTGCTGCCTCAGTCCTTCAGAAGGATTCCAAACAAGAGCACGGGTCCCGGAAGAGGACAGTCAGTCAGTCATCATCCTTGAAGTCCAGCACCAATGTTAGTAAGGACAGCAGCAGTGGCAGTAAAAGCAGCTCATCTTCTAAACAGAAGAAGATGGAGGGAAAAGGTTCTGGCAGTGCTAAAGAAACAAAGGTAAAGGGCCTGTTCTGTGAATGCCTTGAACTTATTTCTTGGCTTTGCAGTTTGTGCGCAGTGTCATCTAAATAATTTGCAGTTGAAGATGAAATGTAATTAGTTTCAGATTTGCCTTGTTTCATGCCGTGGTGCTTAAGACTCTAAATTGGAAAAAAACTTGGGAGGGATTGTCAAATACTGATGTTTATTCCTACCAAGTATTTGTGTTAATTACTAAAGTGAATTTAGTCATCCTTTGATGACAGATGCTGCTTATTTGCTGTTCAATTTGGTAACGAGAAATATCACTACAAATCTGTTTACCCAGAGTGAACAATGAGGTTACTCTTATGTTGCTGGAGCAAGTACAGATCTTGTCCTCATTTTAAGGAGAACAGGAGCTGAGCCTCTGCACAGTGCTGAGATGCAAAGCTGTGGCTCTTATTTTTCGTCCTAGGATTCTAGAAAGGTTCAGCTGATTCCAGCTCAGGAAGGCACAGGGCTCTCTGTGGTTAGAGTAGAGAAAACTGTTGAAAAGGTGATGCAGAAAATATTTTTGAATCAACTCAGATTAAGAACATGTTTAGTTGGTGGGTTTCAAAAGTATTACAGGGTGAAGAGACTGTAAGGTCATGAAATGTAATGTGCTTTTTCATTAGTATATAAACATGCCTTACTGGACAGAATTTAACTTGTGAGGACATCTGGGTATCTGTGTAGAGCAGTTTCTGTTGTATAGCCAGATTTGAGTGTAATATGCTGAAGTTGGATGGCTTTCACCCTTATCTTTGGGATTCCAAATATACCGTTTGTCTTTGAGTGCTATAAAGTGTTCAGGAAGGATAATTGATCTGGGGAGGAGTAAAGCAGCAAATGGCCATTAGCAATGGCAGAAAGTAGCTTAGTCATCAGGGTGGAGTTCATGCAATATTCAAACTGGGAGACCTGCTGGATTAATTTACGTGCCATTACTGTGAGATTTGAGAAACCTGGGAAGGTTGTGTGCATCGGTGTCTACACCTACAGGAAGCCTGTAGATAGCAGGTCTGCAGCATAGACTGCTGCTCTGGTCTTTCCTTATTCATCAGCACAGAACTGTCCCTAAACCAGCTGTTAACTTGTTTAATGTTTATCTTTTCATACTTTGAATATGCTTAGTCATGTCTTTTTTTAAAGTACTGTATTCTTCCTGTATTTCCCTGTGTGTTTTGGTGTGTTTTATGTTGCACTGGTGGAGAGGGCATTGCTGTGCAAGTGTAACGCCTTGCAACTTCGAGATCCTTCTGATTAGCAAGGATCTGATGAAGGCAGGTTATGAAATACTCTGTGTAGTTGGCCTTTGGTCATGATAAATCCAAAGGGCTGAAAGCACACTGAAGCTGGGAAGCTGCTTTATGGTGTTTAAGGACAGATTCATGTAGAATTCACAGGATGTTTTAGTGTCCCTTCTTTAGCCTGAAGTGTCACAATGAGCCATGTAAAATTAAGGGGAGCAAGGACAGCATGCTGTGAGGACAGCTGCTATTTCTCCTGAAGATGATGTTTCTGAAATACTAATCTTTTCAAGCCAGAGACATTCAGCAGTTCAGTGTTGAAAGACATGAGAAGTAATAAAAGTATATATAACCTCTTTGTTCAGAGTGGAAAATCAAGATTTAGCAGTATGGGAGATCTCCCAGTGTAGTAGGACTCAGCTTAATTATAGCCTCTGTGTCTTCCCTGTGCCAGCATGAGATGAAAGCCTCAGGGAAGCTGTGTTATTATATGGTGAATGGCAGCTAAAGCAGCTACAAAACTGACCTTCTTGCTTATAGAGTGTAAAGTCATGGGGAAAATGTATACATTAAATACCTTTTTGTCTTTAAAAAAAAAATTACTGACATTTCAGGAGAAGATTTTGAACAATTCATCGAGCTGCCCTCCTGTTTCTGCTCCATCTACAGAGAGCTCAAAGTCAAGAAGAGCAAAACTTGTTTTTGATGACAGGTAAGAAAGGCAGAGGATGCCTTTCCCTTTTTGGGGATGCTGATCTTGGAGCACAGCGAGCTCTCTGTGGAGAAGAGGGTTGTCCTGTTTGCTTCACAAAAGATGCTGAACACTAGTTTATGTTCTGGAGATCTGTGTATTGTTCCTGCAGCAGAGTGCTTCTCTGCCTGCTCTGTGCACCATTTACTTGGCACACAGTGCACTCCTAGAGGAGGAACTCCAACCTGCCCTGTGTGTTCCTGCAGTGCGTGGACCTAATGGTAGACTGACATATTCCAGGCTCGTCCTGTTTCTAGGTGTTGATGTATCCACTGCACCCTTTCAGAATATCACTACGGCCTCTCTGCCTGTTCTCTTTTAACAGAGCTGCTTCACCCATAGTGAGCAGTTGTTGTTTTTGGCAGCAGAGAGGAGCCTTCATTTTCGAATTGCAGATCTACAAGAATGGGATTGTGATACAGTAACTTCTGTTATTGTAACTTGAGTTAGAGGGGGAAGAAATGAAAGCTGTAACGTTAAGAAACTTATGTCATAAAAGGAAGTGCAGCGTAGGTGATCTGAGTCCATAAATGTGTCTTCTATTGTAGGACTTACTCAGCTGATCATTATTTACAGGAGGCAAAGAAGTTAAAACATAATGCAGATGCATTGGTAAGTAAATCTGCAGTGTTTATCCAGTGTTTGCACGTTGTGCTGGGTTTTGTTTTGCTTTTGCTGTGTTGCTGCCTGTCTGTACTAGAACTTTCTGGTATTTCCTCTTAATATTTCCTTTTTTTTTTTTTCCCCAATCTTCTCAGTCTGACAGGTTTGAGAAGGCTGTGTACTACCTGGATGCAGTGGTGTCGTTCATTGAGTGTGGGAATGCATTGGAGAAAAATGCTCAGGAATCCAAGTCCCCGTTCCCTATGTATTCAGAAACTGTGGAATTAATCAAGTAAGCACTGTAGGGCACATACAAAACTCAGATGGTTGGGGAAGAGGGCTGGAAATCAGGGCTACTACATTTTACTGATGTTCTGCCACTAACTGTTGACTTCCCTTACTCTCCTCTAAGAACGGATCACTTGCCACTGTGTTGCAGTTACTGAAGCTTAAAGTATGTTCCAGCAGGTTGAGATCCTTTGTTTCCAAGTTCTTGATGCTTTAACAATTTGTAGCATGTGCAGAGCAGAAGCATTCAATTACTGCCTAGCCGTGTTCTGTTTAGGGTCTGAGGGAGGGACCTGAAACAGTGAAGGAATTGAAATTAGAATTTCATAAGAACTTTGGTGGCTGATAGATGATAGTACGATATTTTATTTTGTGCTTTACTTGATAGATTGTTTTCTTGTTGATAATTTGTTCATAGGTACACTATGAAACTGAAGAATTACTTGGCACCGGATGCTACGGCTGCAGATAAAAGGCTAGCAGTGCTCTGGTACGTGTATTCTGACCTTTATACCACACACCTATTAACTGAAACTGCTTTCCCTCCATGAGAAATGCTGTCTTACACTGAGCTTTCAGGTGTTTGGAACCAAATGGGAGTTTTCCATTTGAGTATACAGAACAAAGGATGCTATAGATTGATTACTGTAAATGAGGATGGGAGGGGCATGGTAACAACAGCAGAGAAGTCTTTCCTCTATTTAAGGAAATCACTGGCTTTTTTCAGCTCTGTAGCATTATGTCAGTTGATGCTTGTATTTTAGAATGTGATGTCATTGGTCAGCTGACTGTTGCATGCAATGAAGTTGTCAATGTGGCTAAAAGTGATAGAGGTGCCTTTGTGCATTTCATCATCCTTCATGTTTTGATCAAATTGCTGTTGAACTGATCTCTTCGTTTTCTCTCTTTGTGAATTACAATGTTCAGAAATAATGGATTACTGTTGAGTTGGTTGCACAGTCATCTGATGTTGGGCTGTGACCTAAATGCTTTGGGAAACTCTAAGATTGCATTAACAAGCAAACTGTTGTCTGGTTTTGGCTTTAATTTTTGTAAATCAAAATAATCAGCACAGTGCTTTACTCAATTGAATGAATTTATGATTCTGATTTGAAATTTTCTTGGAAAAGTGAACCTCTCGATTGGATTTAAGAGGAGTAACAGCAAATACATTTGGGTCCTTGCTGTGTGTTCACCCAGTGAAATGGCAAAACTTGGAATGGCTGTTAAGAATTGTCACTTGCCTCCTGGATTAATTAAATGGCTGCAGCAAGTAGCAAAACAGAGCTGACAGGTGGAAAAGAAAGGAGGGAACGGTGGCAGAATGCACCAGACTCTTGATGTGAAAAAAAATAAATGAACCCCTTCTGTAGGAAGTAAATTAGAGTTGTTAGCTGAGCTCAGAACTGGAGATGACCTGTATCACTGCAAACTGTAGTTTCAGCTTAAGGCACAAAATTGTTCTTTACTTTCTTGAGAAGTAAAGGTGGTGTGGGACTTCTGCTAGTTACAGCTTGACAGTTGGCTTTTTAATGTTGAGGGAGAAAGCTTTTAAAAACACAGGTACTCAATTTTTGACTTTCAGCATGTTGTGATAAGCTTGACTTTAACTGTGAATGTTTTGCTGTTCTGTCTTTGGTTAGTCTTCGGTGCCAGTCTCTACTATACCTAAGGCTTTTCAAACTGAAAAAGGAAAGTGCATTGAAATATTCTAAAACTCTGACTGAACATCTGAAGGTAATTGGAGATATATTTTCTTCAAATATTACAAAACTAATCAAATTGAAGCTCTGCATCACTTAAAATTCCTCTGTATTCAGTATTCAGACTGCTGCATGGGAACTTCCAGCATGTCCTAATTTAGGACTGGACCTTGGAAGTGCGTTCAAGCGGCGTAGTGTAAAGCTGGGAGGATACAGCATGACTGTAATGCCATCATCCCACTGGTCCTAATGACAGCTTCCTATTAATGTTCTGGTGCAGCTTTTGTTTTTAGTAAATTTAGTTGGCTTCAAAGAGAATTTTAAAATAATTTTCTTGCTGTTGATATAACAAAGTTAAAACTTTGCTGATTTGTGTCTTAGTCATCACTGAAAGAGATGTTTTTCCCAATTTTGAAAGTACTTTGATGTTATTTGGGATTTTGATTATTGCTTAAAAGAAAAGCCACAATAACTCCTGTTCAGAAATGACCGATTAAACAACCAGATAGAATATAATTAGCTGAAGGATAAACATGAATTTATTTTTTCCCAACAGAATTCTTATAATAATTCTCAAGCACCGTCACCTGGTATGGGAAGGTAGGTAGTAGAAGTTTACCTGTATTTCTAATTTATAGCTCGTTTTCCACATAACCTGCGAGTCTGAGTTGCTCAAAGAGCAGCTTTCACTTCTTTGAGCCTTGGTTGCTTTTGAACTAATTCCTGATTGTTCTAAGGTCTAGATTTTGATTCTGTGGTTCAGATAAGTGTTCTGATAAGAGGAATAGAGGACTGCTGTGCAGAAATATTCTCAGGCAACTCCTTGTTGGGAGGAATGAACAAAAAAATCCTCACTGTGTCCTTAACACACAGGTCACTTGTCTCTGTGGTTAGTTGTTTTATGTAATGCTTTTTCTCTCAAAACAAGAGCTTTATTAGTGCTGCAGTGATGCACTTGAAGCCCAGATGGCTACAAGTACTTTCATGATTGGCTTTTCCATAGTAAACAATTTACTTCTGTTCTTGAAGTATGACAACAGATTTTTAATAGATCACTCTGTAAAAAAGCAAAAACAAAAAAACCCCAGAATTTTAGGAGGGCATTTCAGATTTGTATCGTGTTACTTGAAAACATAATGGCAGTATAATTGCCTTGCTTTAATTTTTCCATTATTACTATGTAAGGCTCAACTTATTTAAGCAGTGAATTTAATTGAAAGATGCTGCATATCAGTTTGGCTGTGAGGCTAAAATACAGGAGCTGGAGGAACCTCGGAGATTTTCACTTGTTGCAGGGCCACTCTTGACTTCTCAGTGTGTGAAGTGGGAGTGCTTTAGCATCCCGTGTTCTGAGCTGCAGGAAGAGAGGTTGGCATGATGCACCTGCCGTACCTGTGCGTGCCTTTTACAATGAATGTTTTTCTTTGGATGAGCAGCAAGCCTGTTGGTATGCCGTCTCCGGTCTCTCCAAAGCTGTCTCCAGGGAATTCAGGAAATTACTCTTCTGGGGCAGCCAACCCTTCAGGGAGCGGATCTTCAGTGACGATCCCCCAGAGGATCCATCAGATGGCAGCCAGCTACGTCCAAGTTACATCCAACTTCCTCTATGCCACTGAAATTTGGGACCAAGCTGAACAGCTGTCTAAAGAACAGAAAGGTAAGGGTAGGCAAAGGCAAGTTATAACCTCAGGCTTGCGTGTTGTGCTAAATCCTGACAGCTTTTCAGTTTTGGAGTTATGGTTAACAGTGCACAATGGTACTTAATTGGGTCCTCTGCAAAAAGAAGATGGAAAGTAATTCCTTCGATGGCAGTGGTGCCCTGGGCTGGCTGTCTTGGTTGTCAGTTGGTGTTGTAAGAAAATGTAACATTTCCTGCCAGCTGTGCTTAAAATAAATGAATAAATAAATCTTGCATTTCCGGTAAGTTGTTCTCTGCAGGAAGCAGAACTTGGTGCATTTCCTTTTCTGAAATCCTGAAGTGAATATACACATCTGAGCAGAAGGCCACAGCGTAATTATGCTTAGCAGCCTGCCTTCTGCAAAACAGCAAAGAAATGAACTAGGAAGGCCCTCTTTCCTTGCTTTCTCTCCTGCCATCGTTCAGCCATCTTCCCTTTCTTTTGCCTCCATCTGGAAGATTTGTGCTGAGAAGGAAGCGCAGTATTTCCGTATAGCAGCCAGTGCCAGAGGCTGTGCCTAATTTGTGTTTGTGTTGTTTTAGAGTTCTTTGCTGAACTGGATAAAGCTATGGGCCCTCTGGTTTTCAATTCGAGCATCATGACAGACCTGGTGCGTTACACCCGGCAGGGACTGCACTGGTTGCGCCTGGATGCCAAGTGATACTTGGAACTGAAGGAATGGAAAACAGAACGCGTTCTTCTCGCTGCCTCCGATTTATCTCCACAACACTGTGTCATGTCAATAAGGAAGACTGCCATAACACATTGCTTAGTTGACACTAAGAGCAAGGAATGCTTTCCCGTGTCTCCCATCCTGATTTGTGTTTTGTGTTTTAACCCAAAATGATCTCGTTAATGGACTCCTTCAGTATTCCCTTCTTAAGTTATTTAAATATTTTTAAATTTGCGACATATAAAGGTGTAGCTTTGCTGATCTATCGTGGATAGATTGGGTCATTGGAATTCCCGTCATGATACGTAAATAGTTGGTTTAAATCCTATTTATTTTAATTTTTTAATTTTAATTTTGGAGAGCCCGATTTTGGGCAGTTTTTAGCCGTTTCTTCCCTAAATTTACCCTTCCAAGTACTTAGGAAAAATTAAACATAGACACTTTATTTAAGTACTTTGTGAGCTTTGTTACTCTGTAATGTCTTGTGGTGGTAGAACCTGTAAAAGGAATTAGGATTGATAGGTTCTAACGTGTAGAAACACCATACTTTTCATGCCTAATGCCTATGAATCAACTAATAAATGACAGCTAGAGTTTTATTATTGCAGAATTTGTACTAAATAGAAAAATTCCAGATATTCTTCTACGTATTAAAATACTTCATTTAAATGAATTTTAAAGAAATTTATATGGAAAAATATTTAGCTGGATCTGACTTGGGTTGCTTTCAAGGCAGTTTCAAAGCATTGATTTAACACTATAACAAATCACGAAACATTGCAGTGATTTGCATTTGATGTAATATCAGAGTAATGGTGTAGGAATGAACTTCTGATAGGTGCGATGCATATAGGAAAGGTTTCTGAAATGGACAATCTTGTGCTTTTTGATATCTCTTCATTTAAGATGCATTTTGTTTCCTTGCTTGTCATTTTTTGACCCTTGCAAAATCCGCCCTTTTGTGGTTTAACAAACAAACAAACAAACAAACCAGTAGTTAAATTCCTCCCAAAACTGCCATTTGCATCTTTTTCATTGACTGGAAAATCAGGAATCTTAAGCAGAGATGGAGATCCATTTTTTCCTTTTCGGGTCTGATGGTTAATGGACACTACAGCATGACAGTGCAACAGCCACGGTGGGGTGGGAGCACACCTGCTATTACAGGGAAGTTGTCTAATCGTTTTGATGCAGAATGGATTTAAAACTTGTATTTACCCCATATTAATGAAGGTCCCATTCATGTTTGATGCATTTGATGGAGCAGAATATTCATGTGAGAGGAAGTGAGTCGGTGCAACAGAAACAGTTGGTGGAGTTGCAGTCGACTGCTCCCAAAACGTGTAAACCAAAGTACCTTTCCACGTGAGGTGCTTGTCTGAGTCAAAGGTTTAAAATGCTACTGCTTTCAGTATTGCTTAGTGCCCCTAACATGTCTGGTGTGCCTTATGCCTTACTTTTAGATGAAGATTTTATGAACTGTTTACAAGATGTTTTACAGCAGGACCAGGTGTACTGTATGCAGTGGTCTTCTGCAGTACTTGGGTAAAATTCCATTTCCTTTTCAAAAGTACCAGTGTCTGTCATGCGAACTGACTTCTCCTTGCAATGGTCTCCTTTTACAGAGTCGAGCTCTGAACATTTTGGAGTGCGATTGTGGAATGCTGCTTTGTTTTATCTCCCATTTAACCCTTAATTCTGTACCAGAGATGAACGCGCACGTTCAGGAAAAATTATTGCACTAAAGTTTTGTGTCGTTGTGGTTAAGTGCCAAAATCATGGCAACCTCGACAGAAGGAATAGAATTCTACGCTCTCAGTACTGCAGTATGTCCTATGGGCTTTAAGAGTTTAGAAGTTTTGCAAACGAGTAACCTTCCAAAAGGTAGCTGCATATTCGTAGAGCTTCCTTTGCGTTCCAGCGTGTTTTGTACTTCCAGAAGAGCTTTGCTACTTACGAACCAACACGTGGTTGGTTGGCAGACCTGTGACTTTTCCCATCACAGCTGAATCACTGATCAGGTCTGCTGGTTGGAGCATCCTTTTTATTGAATCACTGTGCAAGATGGCGTTTCTTTTCGTGTTTGCTGTTAGAGACAGAACTCTGTACCCTCAGACTCTGCACCCTGGTTAACGGGACACTGTCAACTAAGTTTTCCTCTGATACTCTAAAGTGCCTAGCACTCTTTCAACGCTATATGAAAAATACCTTTGTAGGAGTTGCATTCATAGTTGTTTTTTTTGTGTAGAGCTGCACCAGCCGGCGCGGCTGCTTTTGGCTTGCTCCTTTGTGCACCGTGACTGTAAGCAGGAATGGTCTCATCTCGGGGAATTCGTTCTCTTTTTTTGTTTCCTTAGAGTCCCACAAATACCTTTTGGTGTCGCCCGCAGTTGTCTCTTAAAAAAAAATGTATCACTTGTCCCCGGGTCGGCGGGTCTCAAAATATTGTCTTCACGTAACTGAAAGACTTCCCACGTTGTGTCACGATGTGGACCTGAAATGGCTGACAGAATCTGTCACAGGGAGGTGTTCCCTGGAGTGCTGTCCCAAGTTTTCTGTCCGTATGGGAGATACGCAGTGGTCTTGTTATTGGAAAAGAAATGCCTTACTCATCTGTGGCTATTTCCATCAGAGAAACTTAAACTTCACGCTTCCAAAAGCATATCTGCTCTGGGATTTACCGTTGTGTCACAGACAGACGGGTGCTTTGTCAGATTTCGTAGCTATAAAAAAAGCAAATACTTAATATGCTTCCATCCCAGGGCCACAATGCAGGCAAACAGCCCGACTGCCCTTTTGTTAACCTCTGCACAGCAGGTGGTGTCAGTGCTGAGGCTGCAGGGGAGGCTCAGGAGGGGATCCCTCGCTCCCAGCTTCCTCAACGATTCCCTAAACGATTGTATCTCAAATACATATCAGTGCTGTGATTTTCATCCCCTTCCTGAACGCAGTCCCAGTTGATGAATCTTAAAAATGGCTTAATCAGACTAGGCTTGCTCAGATATCACTATTGTTTGGGTTTGCTGTGAAACCTGCAGGCTCCTAGATGATAAGGTGCAACCATTTCTATTTAGAATCGAATCTTCAGGACGCCAGAGTAAAACAGCCCGATACTTTTATTTTGATTTGAAACTATTAGCCATGAAGTAGAGCGTGTGGATGGCTCTTCTTGGCTTTTGATGGCAGTATGCAATTTGTATTGTATGTGTCTTTTAATATATATGTATATATATATATGAAATCAGTCTGTCCAAAGTATATGTTATACTTGTTTTTAGATTATGGTGCAACTGACTATATTGATATATTATTTATTGAGTGCTGCGTCACCATCTTACTGGTGGTAAATCTCGCATATTATACAGGAGTGCAATGTATATTCCTTTAGATTGCTGAGGCTTGATTGCTGTGATAACAAAAGAAAAAGGAAAAAAAAAAAAGCCCTGAAATGTATTTATGAATGGCCCCAACATACAGAGAGTCGTTACTTTATGGAAGTGATGTTGTGCTTGCCTGGGGCAAGTAAAATAAAGCCGTAGGCAGGTAATTATGTAGTTTTCCAAAATGGGAAGCTATTGGAAAAAGAGACTACCTTTGCTGTATTTAATGTTTCCTTTACCCAACAGATATTCACTGTCACCGCAGCATTTATGTTAAGGGCCTGAGCAAGTCGAGTTTGAATTGCCCATTTGGGAGTGAGCAACTTCCAAATCTTTAGGTTTCTGACAAATATTTTGGTCAGGGTTTAAATTGCTCCATCTAATGAAACAGTGTTATGAAACCTGTATGTTAATGCTGAATATCTTGAAGTGTGAAGACTAACCAAAGCTTTTGGTGGCCAACTCGGACAAGTACAGAGCTATTATGGAGGCAAATCTCCAAAGTGTGAAAGTTACCTAAAAGCAATCAATCAGGGAATCGTGATGTGTGTCAAACTCCATTACTTCTCAAGGGATTGGTTTCTGATGCCATGATGCCATTTGAAAGCAGCAGTGTTGGGGGTGGGAGGGCTCAGCTTTGTGGTGGGGACGCTTTTCTCTCAGCACGAGCTCTGGTCTCTGCAGATCAGCCATCGACCGCGTTACTTCTTTGCTCTCTGCCCGTCTCAGCTGAGTTTCAATTGAATTACACTAGACTGAGCAATTCTGTGTTACAGCATTAGGGTTTATATAGGCTGTCTTTATGTAAACGTTTTAATTTCACCTGGAAACTTAATGGAAACGTACCTATTCCTGCCGTAGCTCTCTGCGGTGCTGTTGGAGCTGATACAGGCCAATTGGAATGCAGTGTTCCCTGACTTGGTTTTTATATGCAGCCCTGGGAATCGGTGCCGCTGGGTGCACAGAACGCCTGCAGCCTTCCTGTTGGGCTGCACTGACGTTACACAGCTGAAAACTCAACTCTAAGGACCAGGCGTGACTTTTGCAAGCACAGTTCCTGACATTTGTATCTGGTCCCCCTTTTAAATTGTTTTAAGAAATTTTGTATATGGAGGATAAAGTGCTTATATATTTATTAAAAATCCTTTATCTTAATTGAAATTATTATTTGATGAAGAAGGGTTTTTTTGGGGGGGGGTTGTGGGTGAGGGAAGGTAACTTTTCACCTGTCGCTTATCAGCGAAGCCCTTGCGCATCCTACAGAAAGGTACAGCTGGTGGCTGACGGGGTGTCTCTGTTCCACACTTTGTACACGACCAGTCCATGCGTTGCGTTTCGTTTCTATCGGAATATTTGGGCATCTGTCTTCAACCAAAACCTAAACAAACACACCGACTGTGATTTTATTTGTTGCAATACATTTGAAATTTCAAAGGGTACTTTGGGGCTCAAAATTAGGATTTCTAAGTCAGTATGTGCATTTCACGTAATAAAGCTGTTAATGGTGAGCAAAGTATTATATACTAACTAGATTTTTTCCACATCTGTATAGTATATTCTATGTATTTTGTGGTATTGAGATTATAGAAAGTTTAGTGTCTGAAACATGCGTTTAATGTGTATTTTTAAACAAATTTATGGCAATTAAAATATTTGGAGAAAAGGGTATCACATTTCAATTTGTAAAGATCTTTTTAACTACTGTGTCATTAAAATGCTTTGTACAATGCAAAACTGTAACTGGAGAAACTAAGTTTAATAAATATCAAATAGATTTTCTGTATTAAACTTCAGAGTGGTGCTGTCTGTTGAGTGGGCCTGGCTGCTCCCTGCTGCTGAGTTCTGAAGCACAGGGTTCTTTTTTGATCCCAGCGCTCTGTACGTAACCAGGGCAGATGCATTCAGTCACATTTATGTGTGCCTCAGACCCTGTTGGTTTTGGCAGTCAGAAGCAGCTTTGTTTCTCCCAGCTCTTTGAGTTAATGCCTATCTGGTCAAAACCTGATTTTGATAGAAGGAATGTTGAAATAATAGGATTCTTCAGGCAGGGGGGTCAGCTTGGGACGTCAGCAATTTTGATTAGAAATAATTTAAAAGTAAATACTTCTTCCAGTTATCACCAGATATATTTAGTATATTGAATCTGCTAGCACTATTATTATCAGTTTGTTTGCTCTCTCTTCTAACAGGCCTTTATTTGAAGTACGGATAAGAGTTCAGCTGTTGAGACTGAAATGAGATGGAAGCGTGATCAACTTTACGCGCTTGCCAGGCTGAAGGATAAACGTCTAAAGTCCACAGTGAAATAAGCACTTGTGCTGGAAATGCCTGGTGTGCTGTCACCATACACTTTGGTCACAGGATGCAAGGAAAAATGCAGGTAGTTTGCTGAATATAAATTTTTAATGCACACCTTAAAAAAATATATTTATGAACAATTACAAAAAACCCAAAACAAACATGAGATGCAGAGTCCTTTTATTGAGCTTGGCCACAGTCATCCTCAGTGCGTGCTGCGGAGGTACAGCCTCAGTGAGCAAATGCTCTCCATCTCTGAAGTCCTTGTGCCAGTTCTGTGACAGGAAAGTCGAATGTACTTCTTGTGGATTTGCTGTCGTAGCTTCTGAGTGGTCAATAAATACGTCCCAAGCAGAGCTGAGCCATGGCAGCAGTAACGGGGCGGCTGTTCTTCATGGCAGGTCACTCAGAGGCCGTTCTCAGGAAGCAGCGGTTCTTCCTGGAGGACAGAACATCGTCAGGCACTGGCAGCTCAGACTTGCAGGGCTTCTACAGGTCTGTCTGGCTCTAGCAGGGCTCATCTTACTCAGCTGTCGCAGTGGTGCTGCTGTGGGTCTCACTGATGCAGTGCATGTTACCCAGGGCTAAATAGTCAGGTAGTGGTGGACAAATTACACATATGAGACACCTTTCTGTCTATTTATCTTCCTGTGGCTGCTGTTACAATTCATCCATGCTAGTCAGTAGAACCAAAGGAAGCATTTCAAATGCATGCAAAAGAGGAGCCTGACTACCTTTTCCCGTAGATTTGCATGTAGATGATGTATGTGTTCCACTCCCTTTTGCTTTCTGGCAGGAGTACAGTAGGTGCCACACAAAATCAGCTTTCAGTCTAAGTAACTTTAACATCACTTTTTGTAGGTATTTGGACACGCACAGCATGCGTGGCAACTGAGGAATATTGGCTTTAGTATTTTAGCTCACTTTGAACTGAGAGCTTGAGCAGTCCCCATTAATTAATATATGCTTTAAAATGAACGGTAATAGTTTAAGAAGGATTAATTTTAAGGTCTCTTAGCTAATACCTAAATTCAGTCTAGATTTCCGTGTTCTTTTTGCTTTTTTTTGAGATGACTTTTTTGGGGTTGCATTGCAATGGCTGAGGCTTGTCATCAAGGACACATGGACTCTGGTCTGTTTGTACTGCTAACAAAAGAGGTCTGAATCTATTGCTCCATCCTTATTCCTGGCATCTTTTATGCACAGAATTAATCCCGTATCTTGTTTGACTGAGAATAAGAAGGAGCTTCCTCTACATAGCACAGTATCAAGCGTCTCTGAGCTTTGGTATTGATGAGGGTTATTTACCTGCATAGCATTGTAATGCATTCGCTGTTGTCCCTACATGAGGCTCCAGCAGGTCTCAGTGAGACTCCTCTCCAGAAAGGCGTCATCCGCTTCTGTCTCAGCGCAGGCTGTGGTTGGTGCAGGGAAGCACAGTGCGCCTGGAACAGAGTTGCAGCCAACTGTCAGGAGCATCAGCAGCAGTCGGCAGGGGGGCGTTTTGGTGCTCGGGTCAATCATCTTAAGCATTTTTAAGGGCTTTAAATCGTCCTTGATTTCAGACGTTGCTCTCTTAAAGTATGACTGCTTTTATCCGAGTCCTAAAGGAATAGTTATTAAAAATCACCGTTTGAGTGACTCTGGGAGGGGAGGCAGTTACTGGCTCAATTACTTTCCAGAGTAACCCATCTTCGCTAGGCAGTCACTCTCCTTCTTTGGGATGCTGAATGCTAACAGAGCTCTACCCATGCTGCAGACTCCTGCCGGTTTCTCTCATTCGTGCACCTCTTTGCTGCCTGACATTTGAACTAGCACTTCAAACAGTTATATGTGCTTACCTGACTGAGCAGCAGTGAGAAGAACAAAAGGAACGCCGCAGTTTTCCAACAGTGCATCTTCACAGTATGAGCTGCCCCTTCAACCGAGGAGCAGCCGTGGGCAGAGGAGGTTGGAAGAGCCCCGAATAGAACTTCCCAAGCTACAGCCAGATCTTTATAGACTTCATTCTCTTATCACTGCATCAGCTGTCAGTCATTACAAGAACAAAGTTCATTTAGGAGCAAGAGGGAATTACAAAGTTAGCATCTATGAAGCGATCTGGTTCAAGGCCTATCTATCTAGCTAATAATTTACTCTCCTTCCACCTGTACTTTGTCTGGTCAGCTTACCAGATTTGCCAACTGTTCCTTCTTTAAAGTCTATCTAGCATGCTACCAGAACTCTGTTGTGTGCTTGCAAGTAAAAGTGTGGGTGGCCAACAGTATCATGGTGAAGATCAAAAAGCCATAACCTTATTTGACTTCTGGGACATTCACAGTATGCACAGCTCTGAGTTTGCCAGCTGGGAGGGAAATACTTTTCTCCTGAGAGTGTTTGGAGCAGAGAATCAAACTTTCAATTCTGCTTCTCATTCTCGGTGTGTAAAAGAATCACACCAAGCCATTTAACCTTCCTTTCCACAAAGCAGTACTTGAGAATCAGATGTAATATTTTCCATGTGGGGTTAGGAATGCAAAAATTATGTTATTACTTGATAGGTAAATCACAGATCTGTTCCTTCCAGGATCCTCACGTGCACTGAATCTCTAGATAGCTAAGCACAAAGGTAGGAGAGATGGTTGCAAGGATTTGGTGGAGACGAGTTGCTCTACGTAGCAAGACTGGTTCATTGAGATGAACACTCTGCTGTATCTGTATCTCACAGTGTAACTCACCTTCTGAAAGGTGCCAACAAAACTCCCACTGCTGTGGACAGGCAGGCTGTAATTAAGGGGAATCTTAAACTTTTCTGTGCTGATACGAGATTGCCAACAGCCTGGAGAAAATAGTGTTTAAAAAGGACTACATGCTGCTCTCATTTCTTCCAAAATACCAAAGCTGAGACATGCTTGTCCCACTCGTCTCCCACTGAGACAAGTAGGAGCAGTGCGTTTCTAAGATCACTGCTCTGCAAATGCACCTTGTCAGTATTCACTCCTTTTTGGTGGTGGGATTTTATGCATTCAGCTACCATGTATGTCCGAGTGTGCTGTTTCTGTCCAGGAAATGATTCTTTCTGTTGCAGAGTAACAGAATGCTGATGCAGCTGTGTCAAGTTCTCCATGCAGATTTTGAAGCAGTCTGTTTAAAAAAAAAAAAAAGTAAATATAAATTAAAAATTCAAGTAGTCTGTATTAAATATATATATATAGTATATAAAATATACTGTATAAAAATAATTATGCTTTAGCCACATTATAAATCCAAATGTGAATACAGTAGGCTACAGTTTTCTGTGATTGCTTAATATGGAGGCATAAGTGCCAGCGTGGAAGGCAAGTTACATAGATTAAGATAATACCTGCTATGTTGTCAGGTTCCAGACTACAAATGATTACAGTGAAGCCCAAATTTCACTGGGATTAAATAAAAACCCTTTGCAGCATATTGCCTCCAATCCACTGCTGGAAGATTTGTTCCTTTCCTGGGGTTCCTCTTCACTTTTCCCACTTCCCCTTATTTGTCTTGCTTCCCTGTAAGGAGGAATCAAACCTGGTTTTTATTTCACATTCTTGGGTCTCACATAATCGTTGCAGATCAAATAGCTGAACTTCATTGTTGTGTTCGTGTTGGTTTTATTTACATTTGGCTGTGAATTTCTCAAGCACTTCTTCCACTGAATCCTTTCTTTACATACATCTGAGTTTTAATTCCTTCTTTCTTTGCTAGGCACTACAGAGCAGAGACAGGGAAAAAAAGCCAGTGGTTTGTCTTGGCTTCACCTGCACAGGTTTGAAATGGCGTCTCAGCTCTGTAGCAGTGCCTTCAGCACGTCATTGTTTCTCAGCTTTTTTGGCTAGCTAAAACTAGTAATTTGTAATGATGTGTCAAAATTGTTGCGTCTCCTAGGCTCTTCATAGTGTCTGTGTAGTTGCAGATCCCTTTTAGGCTGCAATCTGTTTCACTTGTGCAAGAGAAAAAAAGGGACTGATTGTTTCCGTGTACGCAGATGCAGCGCAGTCCAGGTGTCCATGCTGGGCAGCAGGTAGCCACTGCCATTGTTTAAACAACTGACAGAGAAAACATGAAACGCGGCTGCGTTCCGCTTTTAACAGTCAGTGAAGGAACATCGGAAATAAATCAGGTGAGGGAGAAATTTTCAACTGCGTTGTTCGGATTCTGAAACGCTGCTCAGCTGAACTCCCCCGCCCCAGCCGGCAGGGGGGAGCCAGCACTGCGCGCCCGTGTGCAGGGTTTGCATCTCGCTCCCTGCTGCACGGGCTGGGCCTGCAGGCAGCTGCAGAGATAACAGCTCAGCAGGATTGCAGCAGGCACTGCCAGCAGCGGGAGCAGACAGGGAGCAGCTCCAGCCCGCCTGCTGACCCTGCAGCATGAAGGTGAAAAGCCAGGGCCTGGCAGTGCTGCCGCTCGGGGCTCACGGGGCTGCTGGGTCGTAGGTAAACTCACCAGCGGCAGCTGAACGTGCCGCCTGTTTACAGTAGTCTAGC